CAGGACTTTGCATAAGACTAAATTAAGTTATTAAAAATGGATCACACGTCGGGCGTCGGAGAAGAGATGGCAAAAGTTCTCTTCGGTTAGAAATGAAAGTTCATATAGGATTTCACAGGATTTGCAAAAAGCTTGTTGGTCTAATAAAAGATATCGCCTCTGTCCACGAGCCCCTATTGCTTTTTCCTCTAGACTGATACGACTACAACCGGGATGTGTGACCCCAAAAAGCCGTGCATTTAGTGCTCTGAAGTAATATAACCACAAGTCTGAAAAATGAAGTCCTCTGTTTAAGCACAGAGCCAAGCGTACTTTGCTTTTGGGCAGCTGCAGTGCAAGTTGGTACCTGCAGTTGCTGCCCTCCTGCTTCAGATCAGATCCTCCCAGGTTGTGCAGCCCAGCCCTTCAAAACCGGTTTGGTGCAACCCTGCGCACTTGCAGCTTCAGCTGGTTTTCCTAACAAGGTTGCCAGTTGCAGGGGTGGCTTTTGTAGCGCAAGGAGATGTGAGTCCCGGACTGGGAACCTCTGCTGATCTGGGCCAAAACTGAACTGATTTTGAGATGGAAAAGTGAAGTCTTCATCCTCAGTTTCCGAGTGGTTTTTAACACTTGGATTATTCTGACAGGCTTTTGGGAAGTTACTCATTCAAAGTCAGTATTTCCAAGGGATAAATACAACTTCCTTAAAGCCAAGTTGGCTGCATAAAACCTTTCAAGCTGTTTTTTTTTCCCAAGCAAGATGTTTGGATTCTGCAGAGGGTTCACCCAGACTGCAAGATGCTTTTGACCCAGAGAAAGTATGGCAAATGTTGATATACCGAAAGGCGTCTAGGTTAAGTGTTAAATATTTCCGAGGGGAGCTGATGGCAGTTGTTAGAAGTTAAAAATTGTTATCATATTGTAGTATTTAATACATTTGAATGCTTTCAAGCAGAGATGAAATGGCATTATTTCAGAGCATTTATAGTGCCATATTTAGGGGCACTTGTTCTCTTATAAATACTTAAGCATTTTTGTTGACCGAGAATGGTATCCATCCTGATCTTAGAGATCCTTAGTGATCCATCTTAATAACTTAATTTAGGTTTATGCGAAGTCCTGGTCATTAAGGTTCTTTGAAATGTTTTTTTAGTCTGAATTGTTAACATTAAATATAGCTGGGAACATTTGTGGAATTAAAAAAGCTAACAGAATCAATGTACACATAGGTGAATATGCAATATTTTTGTAATGTTCTTGGTTTCTAAAGTGCTCTTTCTCTTTCCAAGAAGGAAATATGTTCATTAAAATGGATATATATCTGACCTGGGGGAAAGGAGAACACTGAAAACTATGGATGGGTGCTTTAAAATGTAATCACAAATTACTGGACTCGCAAGGACTTTTTGAAGTCCATATTCAGTGTTAGGAATTATGTAACAGTCTGTCTATCATTTGCCATAAAGTCCTTTATTATGCCTGTTCTCCTTGTCATTATTGTACTTCTTATGACCTACGTAAGTCATCAGACTGTCACATAAAATCATGCTTGTGAAGTGCCATGAGTATCAAGGCAGGTGCAAGTAAGCATAATGCTTCAGGATTTGAGTCTTGAATGAAACTTACTTTACTTTGTACGCAACTGAGGAACTGATATTTTTATTTTTAGCTTTATACTTAACATCAAGAATGTAATAATGAGGTTGCATTCAGCAGTCCTGAAGCTTGTAGATAACAGTTATAAAATGTAATGGTGAATTGCTTGAATTTCTCCGAGCACACCAGGTACTGCGATTCATTTGGTAGAGGTTAAAAGAACTTATTGTATACAAGGCATGAGACTTTAAGGTAAAGATGCCTCGGAATAGTCAGTTAATCCATTAACTTTATTGTTGATCCTCATGATGAAAATTAGTATTCATCGCTACATATGGTATCTGAGACCTTGACGCGGACAAATTTAAATTGTAGTTCAAATTTGCAGCATCGGTACTGGAAAGTGGGTAGTGCTTCAAGTGTGACTTTGAAATCTTTCTTTAGAACTGGAATAAATAATAAATTAGGTTTACTAGGAATTGTGAGGCCTGATAGCCAGCCAGTACATTGGAAGTAGACTAAAAATGTTACAAGGGGATATAACTTCCTGTGTCAAGTATTGCTAAATCATATGTTGCCGTTGCATTTCCACATTATTGAAAGGATTGCAAACTGATCTGGGATTATTTTAAACCAGTAGTTGGAGCAAAAGTATGGATTTTGAATGAAAGATAAAATAGTTCTCTTCCTGATTAATATGTACTTGAAGATAAGTAATAGTATGTTAGGAAATAAACATTGTTGCTGTTTATCTAATTACTTAATCAGCCACTCATTAAAACTTATATTAGGGGTTAATATGGTGCTGGGGTAGGACAAAACAGGTAGCTGTATTACTAGGTTGCTGATTTCATATTTGCTATGTATGATTTGATCCAAGTCATCTAGCCCCTCCTTGCCCTATGAAAGAACTTAACTTCTAGGTTTTTTCCCAAGTTCATACTAATTACATGATTGAACACTTAGTGTTAGGTTTGTGTGTGAATTATGAGTGCTTGAGCATTTGCATGACTCACTCATATGCCATGCAGTTTCTTGCCTTGCTTTTCTGAATGAATATTTTCATTCAGTAGTAAAATAGTAGAATGTCTGACTAGCTAATTCCATCTCAAACGCTAGCTTGTAGTATTTTAATTAAAGACAATTACTGGAGGATTTTGTGGCTACTTGAAGACACTGAAATGATGACATTGCTCTTTCCCATGGGAGTAGTTGCTGAGATTATCTTTCTTCATTTTGGCAATTTTGGTTCCCTTGCATCTTGGTGTATCTGGAGGTATATCATTTTTCCCTTGTATGCAGTGATTAATTTGTGAAAACTGTTGACCATCACTTCAGCATTAGTTCAGCTCCACATTGCTGGCCATACGGCCATGTCCAGGTGAGCATGGCCACGTGATATGTGATGCCGCACACCCGTCTGTGGTGCCACATACCGCACATTCAGGCATTGCCTGCGCTACTACCTTGCAGTGTGGGGGCAGGGTTTTGACCCCTGGAGATCCAGGAGTCAAAAAAACCTGCACAGAAAAAAAGCAGGGTCACACATGTCGAGCTGCCAGCCAGGCTCCAAGCTGCAGAAGCAATGCAGCTGCATCTTCCCCAGCCCCCAGGATCCCAGGTAAGGCTGCTGGGGCCAGTGCAGTTACTGGCCCCAGCCTCCCCTACCCCATCTGAGGTAACCTGCTGTGCATCAGAGGGCATGTGGCACAGGTGTTCCCCAGGAACATCTAGCAGAGGCACAAGGTGTCCTGCTGCTGATTGTCCTCAGGGAACCAAATATCCGTGCTTATCTGGACACAACTTATGAGTGCTAGCATAGATTGACTGCTGGTGCTTACTGTTGTGTTATCTAGTCTAGTCATCTGGTTTAGGTGGGATTTGACGATTTCTTAACAAAAGGTAGTGAAGGCTTTTCTAAACTAGCACTACCTCTACTCTACAAATTGTGGGTGATATGTGTGGGGGTGGTAGGCTTTTTGTTTTAAGATGCAGCTTTATAGAAAAAACAATGTGATCTGTTTTATAGTTACATGTATGGTTTTAAAGTGTCGAAAATACATTTTGAACTAGTGGAGGTCCCACCTGAAACCTTTCTCATGTTATGCAAGTCTAATCTACCATTCTGTCACTAGTAAATATGTGAAGAAACAGCTGATTATTTATCATATGCGTATGCAGTCTTCCTTGGTTTCTCTTCCTGGTGTGAGTTTTAAAATGTTAAAATGCCAGAGCCATGATAATGAATTGGTTTAAATGTTTTTGCATCAGGCATTCAGAATTGTTTCAGAATAAGTTTTCTTATTATTTCTAATGGAAGGATTAACATGGTAGTAAGGGGTTAATAGTGGTGTGGGAATTTAGACCAAGGAAATGTAGGATTTGATCAGAGCTGCTTAATGGAATCTACATGGATTGTCTCTAAGGAACATGACAGAAGCCAAGAGAATACTTTTAAAACTCTGCTTCTTTCTGGAGAGAGAGAGAGAAACTGGAAGAGGGATTCAGGAGTTCATAGACAAACGTGCTGGGCCTCATGGTGTTTTTTCGCTGTTTGGAGTTGCCAGTATTAAAGGCTAAGGTACACTCTTAGTCTTCTCTTCTGCTAACCTCTTATGTTTGGATTCCATATGCATCTAAAAATAGGAGACCTTTTGTTTCAATCTGTGTAACTTTTTGATACCACTGTTGGCTCTGCTGCATTCCTATACAGACAGTATGCCACCATCATCAGCATGTACGCCCTGACTCTTGATGCTGCTGATGAAACCAAGGAGGAATTTGATGCCCACTCTGACCAAGTCCTTTCTGACATTGTGGAGGGAAACGGACTTATTCTTCTTGGTGATTTCAGTGCTAGAGATGGAAGGGACTCTAACCTCTGAAACAAAACCATTGGCAAGAAAGGAGTAGGAAAGGTCAACTCCAGTGTCATTATCTTCTTGACCAAATGTGCAGAACATGGACTCACCATCCCCCACACCGTTTCACCAGAAAAACAGGCACAAGACCTCATGACAACACTCAGGATCTAAACATTAGCACCTGATTAACCGTGTCATTGTCCATGCCTAGGATTGCAAACATGTCCACATCACCCAAACTGTGCTAGGAGCTGACAACTGCTGGAGTGATCACTGACTCATCCACTTGGTTATCTCATTCAAACTGGCTCCTAAACAACAGCTGCAGCAAAATAAAAGCCTATGGAAGATCAGTATTGAAGGACTCGGGGACCCAAACAAGCAACACCCTCCTCCAGTGCCTGAACGAGAAACTGGTGAATTCCAGTAAATGATGATGGGGAAATGTCAGCAGCTTATGACAGTGGCCTTGAGGGCACCCCACAAGTGCCTATGAAGAGATGCTTGGATTCTCTTCCAGAAAACATCAGGACGGGCTTGATGAGAACAACCAGGAGATCCAAGAGTCAATCGACTGCAAGCACAAGCCCACCAACTCCGAGCAAAAGAAATTGGACCTTTGCTTTGGCTTGTTGGAGACTCAAAGGAGGATCCATGATATGAAGAACAAATAGGGGGAAGGCGAGGCTAAGGAGATTCAACATCTTGCTGACATTCATGATATGCATGGTTTCTTTAGCGCCATCAAAGCTGCAGTAATTGAAGCCCTGTACTGTTTACATGCAGCTCAGATTTTGACTATATGCCAGTTACAACTGATGCTCGTATATCACGAGGTACTGTCAGGCAGAGGTGCTGCTGAGGGTTTGTTTTTGTTTTTTTAATTACTTAAACTTCTGTATCACCTTAATGTGCCTATTGAGTATTGTTTGGCTCTTTTTGATGAAAGCACAGTGGTTTGCTACTCGCAATATTCTCATGCGTAAGTAAAGTTCAAAGTGAAAGAGCTTTGGGTGGCAGGGAAGAGTAATGCTATGGAGTTTTCGATTGGTACCAAAGTAGCAAGCATGTCATTTAGTGATACTGCGTTTAGTCTGAAGTTTATAAATAGTTGCCCTGTGGTCTCACTAAACAAATGTTGTGGCAGGGGGAGAAGGGAGAAAATTTACAGTAAGTAGATATGTCTTTTCTACCTTGTTTATTTCACCTTCCTTTGTGTATTGGTGTTTCATTGTCTTTGTGTACTGGCATGTATCATCACTGTTCCCTTTTTTTCCTCGAACTCAAGAAAAGAAGAGGGGAAAAAAGGCACTATGTGAAGTACAAAGCCAGTTCCCAGTTGCAGCACAAAGTTACGATACAGTTAAAAGCTGCACAACTGGGCTCTTCCATCTGTAGAGATTTTTGGCAGTGTAGCTGCCTGATTATACCTGTTGAACAACCCACATGCATTTGCAGCACTTTGGGTATTGTACAAATGCAAGTGGCTATGGCTTGTAATTGGAACAGTGCAGAATGATGTAGCTCTCTCTAATACGTAGTTTTTCTCAATGTGCTCATCAGAGTACTCAAGACAGTAAATACTTGGTCTCTTTCCTTTCCAATCCCCAACTGGCATAGCAAAAGTAAGCTATGATGCCTGGCACTGTTACTGTTCATTCAGATGCTCCTGAGTAAACCATACCTATGCCCATGGTGATCTGGTACATTTGTTTTGACTCTCTTGCAATGTATATGAAGGCTTGAAGGAGAGCTTGAAGCCTGGCTGCATCACGGAGAGGGCCTTGATGTAAAAAGAAAGTTGTAAGATCAGCTCTGAGCATGGCATAAGGGGAAAAATAAATGATTAACTTAAAAATCAGCTTTTTAAAAATGTAAAAACTCCACTTCCTTGATGATACTTAAAATGTAGCTCAGTATAGTGTGCCTTGTTATAACTGATCTGGGTTCCCTGGGGAGGCAGCAGCTTGAAGGGAAGCTCTTTGTTACGATATTTGCAGGGAGGGCATAGGAGGGTGAAGTTTCTGCCTTCACAGCACTTGTGCTGCTGCTGCATGTTCAGAGCAGACCTAATGGAAATGTACCAGAGATGTTTACACCTGTGCAACAGAGATGCAGCGCCTCTCAGGTCCTAAGCTACTCGAGGAGCGTGCATGAAGAGCACTGAGTACCTGACGTAGGATGGCTGGCTAGTATCAATGGATTGTACCATTGTGACTTGCACCACTTCATTCTTCTTCATGGCCCTCTGCTGCTTCATAGTTATGTTTTGACCTGAGTGCTTCCATTACCTGAAGACAAGGAGAAATCTTTCTTGTGTTTCCCTTTGATATCTCATTGCTCAGGCAGCAGGGGAGCTGCCCAGAACACTGTTTGCATCTCCAGTGTCCGTGCAAGTTGAATTGCTTTTTTCCATTGCACTGAGTCACCATCTAAAAATGAGCTTCAGGCAGCCATTGCTTTTGTTCAGTATGTTCATCTAAATACAAGTAAAGGGCCCAGTTGTGCAGATGTAGGAGAGGAATAATCTTAGAACACAAAATCATAGCTTTAAAAAAAACAAAAAACCACTGTGATCTCTTTGACCTTTAGGCAGCCAGCCCCAATAATAATCTTTTTCTAGGAATGGTAGTAGATTTGTATAATGCAGCAGTTCAGTTGTGCTCTTTATTTTATTAAATGAATAGTTGATTTCTTGAGATGGAAAACTAACTTCACATAAAGGTGGATGTGCAGAAAAACTGGCTTGGCTACAGATCATTTTCATTATAAATGAGATCATTGGGGGCGGGGGAAGAATAAAAAATGAAGACAAAGTAAGAAAAATCTGTCTTACCTTGAAGTGTGGCAGGCAGTATGTTCATATTGATTCAGGGTGACCTTTTTAGTTCCTGGATCCAAAAAACTAACTGTAATTTGAGATGTTTAAAGGAAGGGAGAAAAGGGAACAGTTTAGTATTTCAGTGGCTTGGCGCTGGATATTATCCCTTTATGTTTCTCCAGAGGGAGGGGAGGACACAGGTCTGACTTTCTAGCCTTTTTTCCTACACAAGACTTTCTCAACTAGAGACTCAACTTGCTAGTTTTAAATCCAAATTGTTAAGATTCTGGTTCTGATGTGGTAAAAAATGTTTGCAGTGTATGGTGAAAGTTCAGTATACACAGGAGGGCAGGTTTATCTGAATTGGTGAACTTTTGAGTTTCAGAAAATTGTGGGAGGCTTTGAACCACTGTAGTAACAACTTGGATATAGAGGTAGAAGCTTTCTGAAGATGGTAGCAATGATGGAGGTTTGTAATCGTGTGGCTCTTTGTTCTGCTTCCCTTATTTTCCTAGATTGCTTCACTGGAGTCTCAAGCATTGCTTCCCCTTGTTAGCAGAAGAAACTTAAGTTTCTGCTTCTAGTTGTGGGCAATAGTTCCCAAATTTTCTTGTCTTATAATGTTTGGGGTCTAATGTGAGTTGGCAGCTTGGAATGGTCAAGGAGAACTGATTTAAAACTCCTGTTATAAAAACGTTCCACATAAAATCTTGCCTGAAAGAGTCTAGTAGCTAACAAAGGTTACAGCTTTTCTTGAAAACTGATTCTTTCTTTTAACAAGGAACGGTTGTGGGAAGCAGTCAGATGGCAAATGAAAATGGTGCAAATAAAATTATTGCTTGTGCAGCTTGAAAAACCATGCTTCGTTAAGAGAAGCCTCTTCAGTGGAATAGTCTAAAGGCAGCTGTCCTGTTTCTGACTTTTGTATGACACTTTAGTTAATTGCTACATGTTTAGGTAGTGGCTTTGGTAATTGGTGAAGAGAATTTGCAGAATTATTCCAGGGTTTCACTACCCCCATTTTGTTGACTTCGGTTAGTTCCTCTGTGCAGCATTAACATAAGTTTATTTGTAGAGTTAAGAGGGAAGAGAAAGAAGACTGTCTTCATGTTCCACTTTTATTCTTGTGTTACTCAGTAAGCTTGATAGCATGCCCATTTCTGTAATGTAAGGTCCAAGTTGAGTAAATGCAGTTAGCTTTGTCTACTCTCTTCAGCCTCATTAGCTAAATGGTTGCCTGTTAAGTGCAGGAGTCTCAGCTGGATGGTGCTCATTTATTGCGATAATTTGTTGCTTTCCCAAAACCAAAACAAAATGAGGAAGGGAGTCCAAACATGAACATTTTTAAGACTAGATCCCTAAACTGACTCTTGTTTAGAGTAAGTTGCTTTCATTGTGTCAGAACTCATGGTAGAGGTGATATCTTTTCTTAGACCAACTAGATTTTGGCCAAAACATGTCTTTAATTGCAAGCTTTCGGGCACAAACACACTTCTTCAGGCATAGGAGAAAAGACTGTAAAAATCTAGTTGGTCTAAGAAAAGATATCATCTCTGCCACGAGTTCTGATTCTTTTTGTCTCTAGACCAATACAGCTACAACATGGATACCTTTGATTCTGTGTAACTTGTTAAATATATTTCCTTAGCCATCAGGGAAATGATTTAGCCTGGGTCAAAATGCCTGTCATTTCCCTTGCCATCAAACATTGTGAAGTGATGACATTTACTTTCATGTGCTTGTCACTGGTAACATGGTCATACAGGGGAAAAATGTATTTCTTCTGCAGTTGAATGGTGCTGTTAAATAACTAGTGATTTGAAGGTCATTGAAGACGTTTTGTGTGAATGCTTGTTAGTTATGCGCTTATGTAGTTTGCTCAGTATTGTGTGTGAGCTGCTGCTCTTGAGTGTTTGTTTGGTAGCCACACGTACTGGGAGCTAGAAGAGCTATTTAAACTAAAGAGACAAGAACAAATGAGCATAGCTGGCTGTGAATAAATTTTAAGATGGAAATTAGAAGATTTCTATACTTTGAAGGAGTGAGGTTCTGAAACTGCTTCTCAGTAGGAGTAATGGGGGGCAGAAACAGTAATGGGTTTTCTGACATCGGAGATGGATCAGTTTAGGTAACAGATTGTAGGCCAGAGTTTCCTGCAGTAGTTTGACTAGGGTTTGACAAAAGGTTCTGACTTTTTGGTTGCAATCTGCATGGGTGGGCCTTTTGGTTCAGATGACAATGGTTGTTTTGCCATAGGCAGCAATCTTTAGTACATAGTTGCTTAGATTTAATGTCATAAGCAATTCTGCCCTGGACTTGAACCAAGCAGTTTAAATTAGAGTAAGTCATTCAGATTGGAGAACTGCTGGCAGCTGTTGGAAAGGTAGCTAGCTGCTCCATCATTGTGAAAAACAAGGACAAGCAGGTATCCTACCAGACCAAGTAAATTTGCACTGTTGTTTCCAGTCTGCAGGGTTGAGACTGCCTAAATCCTTTAAAAACAAAAAACCAAAACAACCGAGTGTTGTCATCAAATATGCTTGAATTTTTCTTGTTAAAGGTAGCCTCAAAATTCAGCCAAATGTCACTGACATTTGGCTGAAGGTGCAGCGTTCTGGGACCATGCAGGTAGAAAGAATGTATCTCTATAAAGTAGCTGTTTTCAAACATAAAAGCAATTAGGGAGGTACAAGTGTTAACATGACCATGTACTAATAGGCAGCAGAGAATACTTGCTCTCTGAGATGAGACTTCCTGGTTTCACTCTTCAACCTAGCTTTGGATTTAGACTGGGCTTGTCTCTGATTTCAAAAAGTAATAATGTAATAAAGATAGTTTGTTTGATCCTCCACCACCTTGTGCAATCACTTTCAGCCAGTTGTTCCGTGGTGGAAATGGAATGTTCTTCATTTTACCCTGCAGGCTGATGCATTTATACAAGGGGGGGGAGTGAAAAATCAGGCCTGCTCTTTAAATAGCTGTCTTGCATGTTGCCCTTTAAGTTAACCAAAGCTGTGCAAATTGTGTAAATCCTGTTGCTACAGCCTGGTGACAAGCCCAGTAGTTGCGGGTGTTCTCAAAGGGGAAGAAGCTGTTTCCCTTGTGATTTAAAACGTAGGGTAGCTTGCGTATAATGGAATAAATTCATTCTTTAAAGTATTTGCACTTTATTTTCTTTAGCAGTCTGTTAGCAAGTTTTTCTCTCTCTAACCCTTTTCTCTTTCAACAGGAAGAAAATGAGCCTAAAATCTGAACGCAGAGGAATTCACGTTGATCAGTCAGAGCTACTATGCAAGAAAGGATGTGGTTACTATGGGAACCCGGCCTGGCAGGGCTTCTGCTCCAAGTGTTGGAGAGAGGAATATCATAAGGCCCGGCAGAAACAGATTCAAGAAGACTGGGAGCTGGCGGAGCGGTAAAGACCCTCTTCGTTTCTTGCCCACGTGAAGTAGGATGGCTTTCTCAAATGTTCCTGTGTTCCAGTTTGACTCCTTCTTGCTGTGGTCAGCTTCAGGAAGACAGTTGCTGGAGGAGAGAAAAAAAGGAAAACAGATTTCTTATGTCTAGGCAGGCATTGTTTGTAGCCTTTTCTGGCATAACTTAGAAGGGCCTTGCAGTGTGGAGACTAGGAGGAGCTAAAGAACAGTAGATACTTGTTAAGTGCCTAATCTAAACAAAAAATCTCTTGTTCATGAGCTGTTCAGTTTGGCAGGCTGGAAAGGACAGTTTTTAGTTCAAATAAAATCCTTTTTTTTCCCTTTCTTTTTTTTCCCCTGAGACCAATTGAATTATAATTATACTTTATTGTTTAATTTTTTTTTTGTCCTGCCTCTATTCAAGGCAAGAGGCAGATGTTGTCAGTCGCTGACAATCACATTTTATCTAATGTAGAACATATGACCATCAATGTTCTTGGGTTTTACCAGTAGTTAACATCCTGTTTCAGTTCTAGATATTTACTTTTCTAGTTGATGAAAGTAGCCATCTTGTTTGCTTATTCCCTGATCCCAAAGATTTTGTATTCAATTAAAAAAAAAAAAGTTTTAAAAAGAAAATGTGTTTTCTTTACTGCATAGTTGCAGAGGCATTTCATATTTGCTACCTGTCACTAAGACAGGGTTCTTTCAAAGGTGAGTATCATGATGTCTGCTCTGGGATTTGCTACATCCTGCAGATGTTCTAGTGTGCCATGCAAAGGGGCACTGTAATTAGCTATTTCATCATGGTGTTTGGCATAGATAAAAAGAATCAACTGCTGAAAGGGGCAGGTAGGAAATGTAATATTCATTTTAGAGCAGTGTCCAAGCACCACCGATGAGGGAATCTTTTCTAAGAAGGCACTGCTCAGCGGGAAGGGACACACTTCAGTGGTTTAGTTAGTAAATGCACAGCACTTCAGAGCGGGAGTGCCAAAAACACCCAAACCCTGACCCACACCTAGACTTAGTTTCATAGTTTCATAGATTTAGGGTCGGAAGGGACCTAGTAGATCTTGTAGCCCAACCCCCCGCCAGGGCGGGAGAACAACAAAACCCCAAAACAAAAATGGGACTCAAATGAGTCCAGCCAGGTAGG